GGAGAAACCCGTGTACCCAAAAAAAAAAAAAAAAAAAAAAAAAAAAAAAAGTAGGTCTGCAAACCTTTCTTATTCTCACAAACAAATTCAGGACGCTTGGAGGGAAGAATGGCATTGATTGTTTTCTACTGGGCTAGCATGGGTGGACAGTACATGGCATGATACGCCAGGCTGAGCTACAGCTATGACTAGCCTGTACGTAAGTTGGTAGCTCACATATTTCTTGAAATATGCAGCTGGTCCCACGTAGCAGCTGAATCACTGCTGATATGATCTGTTCCCCCATCCCACTCATGGAATGCACGGCCTGCGGGACCCAGGAGGCCACACTGGACCATGTTCCAGGAGTCCACCTGGGAAGTTCTGATGTAAACAGCACCACAACCTTGGCTAGCTGGCTTCACAAATTCTCTCACTTGGGAACCAAGTAATAATAACAGAGAGCAAATAGCTCAGGCTGCGTCATGATCCAAACGTGTACCGGGAGTCAGCTATTTCAATCCCATGCAGCCCATGAGATGGGTCCTTGTGTTAGGTTGCAAGGCGGCTGCAGACACAGGTGCCCATTCACAGAAATGATGTCACCCTTGGGCAGGAGTCAGCTGTGGGGGGAGGATGGTTCCCAGGTGGGCCCATAACAGCACAATCAATCCGTCACAGCTGAATTATCATACTCCAGGCTCTCACCACCATTTCTTCCCCTAGCTTCTACGAGAAAACGCCTGCTGGAGCTCCAAACACAGAAGCTAGGAGGGAGCCTTCCTCTCACTGCAGCTTCAGATGCAGCCATGGGACCCCCCCCCCCCCCACCGGCCCTTTTCACCTTAGGATTTAAAGGCAGCTCCTCTGGGGCTGTGGAGCGATCGGTGTGTGTCGGGGTGTGTGTCAGAGCTAGGATCAGGGGTGGGGAATGCTGGCTGAATACAGGGACTTCTCAGGCCTGGGATGGAGACTCTGCAAGTTGTACAAAATTGAGAAGCTAGGATAGAAGCTTGTAAAGAGAGCCATATGATGTGTGTGTGCAAACGTGCACTCCCTTGCTCACACATTCATATGAGAGAGGCTATGGGGGGCTATTAATGAAGGACACTGCACATGGAGAGTCAGATCTTCCTTTTATCCACCCGCCACTCTCTTCCCATCTCACCCAGGGCTGCTGCTGGGCGTTGGCAGAACAGCAGGAACCAAAGGTCTAGAGCAGAGGTTCTCACACCTTAGCAAACATCAGGATGACCCGGAGGGCTTGCTCCCAGCCTCCCCCCGGCCCCGACCCCGAGTCTTCTAACAAATGGAGATGGAAGCCTCTCCCCCAGCCCCGCATCTCCTGCCAATGGGCACCAAGGAGAGTGGCAAGGGGAAGAAAGCTGGGGCCTGGGACCTGCACGTGGGAGAAGCCACAGTGGAGGCACCACCTCCTCTCCCACCTGCCCTCTGGGTGCCTGCACAGCAGCAATCCAACAGAGGCGCTGGGGGCAGGTGAGAAGTGGGGATATAGACAACCAGAGACTGCAGTGAGGGTGACAATGGGGGTTAAAAGGAAGGGGGTGATGAGAACCGTGGAAAGCAGTGGAGGGGGTGTGTGTGTGTGTGAGCCACCTGCATACAGAGATGAAAGGAAGGAACTCCCCAGGGGCTCCCAGGAGAGGAGGGCTGACCACTTCGCTGCCTGGCCTGGAAGAATCCCTCAATCATAGGGCAGGGCGCCCAGGACGCTTCCTGGGTGAGCTTGGAACCTGGCTGCTGGCTGCGTGTTTCATACCAGACCTCACATGACATACTTCACTCATCCATCTTTCCTTTTTGCCCCTTCTTCCTCCAACCAGTTTATGCCTGATCTTGAGAAATTATGTCTGGGACAGGAAGCATCTTCACCATTTCAGCCTTGCGAATATGAGGGCGGCCCCATCCCCAGCTGCTGGAAATGCTCAGCCAGTTAAGGGCATGGGCCTGAGGGGAGAGAATGAGGTGGGACCAGGACGCCCAGGCTGCTCCCTATCTGGGTGAATACAAGAGGCCCGCGGGGCTCGATCAGGACCCTTTAGGACACAGAGCAAGAAAACCCAGCAAGGCCAGGCCACATCTGGGATGCTGGGGGTCCCAGGCTCCAGTAAGCTTGAATACAGGTTGAATTTTATCATCTCCAAATTCCTATATTGAAGTCGGAACTCTCAATACCTTAGACTTGACCTCATTTGGAAACAGGATCGTTGCAGATGAAACATGTTCAGATGAGGTCATATCAGAGGCCTTAAAAAAGAGTAACTTGGACAGAGACAGACCCACATAGAGGGAAGGCGGTGTAAAGAGTCACAGGGAAAACACAATGTAAGGGCAGAGATCTTCAAACCAAGCATCACTAAAGGCTGCCAACCGACCACGGGAAGCTAGGAGAGCGGCCTGTAACAACTCTCGGAAGGAACCAACCCTGCTGCCATCTTGATCTCAAATTTCTAGCCTCTAGAACTGTGACATGATAAATTTATTATTTAAGCCACTCAGTTTATGGTCCTTTGTTAGGACAGTTCTAGCCAACTCATACACCGGCTGGAGCCCAGTAGAGGCAAAAGAGAAACATCCCTGCAGTAGGCTGGAGCTATCTGAGGATCTTTCCAGCAGTGGCACAATTGCATCCGTTTCAGAAGCTCTCCCAACAACCTGGCTAATTGCACAGGCCTCTAGCCACGGTGAATATAAACCTGCAGCAAGAGGACACGGCCCAGGCAGCCAGTTAACTCTGGCTGAATTGCTTCCCTGGGCTTCCTTCAGGTTGTAAGCTTGTAGGGACCTGCTTTAGATAAGCGGCTGATGCTTTAAAGCTCGTGCACGCGTGCTTACCACGTTCATCAGGTTCTCATGGTCTCCGCTGTGCTGTCTCGGCTTCTTTTCTCTGAAACAGAAAAGGAAACATGGCTGTAACATCCAACGTGCCATCTAAAATCAAACATACGCTCCCCTTTCCTATTCAAACTTTGATCAACATTTAAATAATCTCTCTTTTAAAAACCAGGTTTATTTTGCCAAGGAAGCAGAAGCCAGACAATTCACTCTACCCCTCGTCTGCAGGCAGCAGGGTCCGAGGGAGTCAAGTCCCAGCAAGGGGCTGGTCACCTCTCTGGACCTCCCCTTCCTCCAGGAGTAGAAAATACAAGTTAACAAGAGGACTGGGGCAGTTTCCTGAAACTGTTTATATCCAGAATACTGGAATGAGTTTTTTGTTTTTGTTTTTTTTTAAGGAAATCAACAATTCTCATCTCTTCATCTTTCTTAATTCAGTCTTTGCAAAGTCACACACTGCCATGGGATTGAGAAAATAAAGAAAATACAACTTTTGGCTTGTCGGGGAGGTTACATGCCCTCAGGATGAGTCATATGTACTTGCAGTCTATGGAAAAGTCCATCCAGTAAAAATAGAATTTATTTTTACTCGGGACAGGCTAAAGAAAGCCATCAGTACTAGAGGCTACCTTTCCCATAGATGTATAAGGCAACAGTGACACCTAGTGGGACCATAAACAATTGCAAGGCAGGCCCTCCCAGGCCCAGGGGAACAAACACTCCTCTAGCTTTGCTTCTATTTCTTCATCTTTCTGGCCAGTTAGTCTCTCTCCCAGCCCTGGAGTCCTGGATCCAAACCGGGCAGGGATTTGGAGGCTACTTGTGTTCAGGGAGTCTGGATTTTCCCCTCCTGACAGAGACTTTAGGGCACAAAGCCACATCCAGACTTTTAAATGACACTTGTCCAGTCTCTTCCAAGGTTATTGAGAAGAGTTTGAAAGAGGGCTGGCTGTCAGCTGGTCTGCACTGGCTCCCAGCAGCAGCCCTCACCAGAGAGCTGCATATGTTGTAACAATGTCTGAACACCTGGAAAATCACTCCTGGTTAGAAAGGACTTTGCTTCTCTCCAAGCAAAGATCTCCTTTTTTTCTTGGTGGAGGGGTTACACATTTTTACTGTATATGAGGGAGACAAAGAGGGAGGAAGGGGGGAGGGGAAAGAGAGAGAGAGAGAAGTATAATTCTAAAATAAGATGGTTATTTCATACACAGAATGTTTCTCTTGTAGAAAAAAATGAATGTTTCTTAAGAAACTGCAGTTCCAGATAACAAATCCTTAATAAAATGACCCCCTGAAAGCTGCAGAGCAGCAAAAATTCTCAGTAACTCTCAAATGGCAGCAAAAAGAGTATCTTTAATGCACATGATACTTAGATTTCCAAATGTCCACAGATGGAAAAAGAAAATACACATTTGGACAAGGGTGTGCTCATAAGAATAGCAAAAATGTCCTTCTGGGAAGTTTCATACATAAGGGCTTTTCCAGTTGCTCCCCAGGAAAATCAGATGTGGCTTTTCACTGAACTAATAAAAAGTGTCCTGGGCTCCTTTGTGGCAGAGAAGTCAGTTCATCTAACATACGAGTTTCTGGGAACGTCTATGCAGTGAGATGCCACTCATCACAGGCTTTTTATATAGAAAGTCTTCTGGGTCCAGGGAACATGTTATTTTAAGGCTCTAGTAGACATGCACTGCTCTCACCTGTCACAGCTGGAGCACAGAAAGATGAGGAAGGTGATGAGGAAGAAGGTGGCCACAGCTGCCAGGCTTCCCCACAGGGTGATCTGCATTTGTCCCCCACTCAGCAAGCTTCCCGCGGGTCCCATGGTGGGTGGGAAGTGGCACAGGCTGCCGGATTTGGTCAGTCCTTCCAAGGTGGCGACATGGGGGCAGAGGGCTGCGTCCTCCTGCAGAGAGAACAACGTGTGTTTTGACAACTTCTCGCGTGAAATGCCAGAATCTGGGAGTAAGTCCCTGGTGGGGCGTGGGGTGAAGGGGCGTTTGAGCAGAGCAGGGAGGTGTGTGCAGAATGCACTGGACTCGACTTGGAACTCCCTCTTGGCAAGTTCCCCTCTGTGGTCCAGGCCTTTGTTTTCTCACCCAAAACGCAAAGAAGGAACGTGCAGTGCCTAGTGCAGTGTTTGAGGCAACGGATGTCTTGTTATTTGGATATGTTTGGGGATAGATTCTTAATGTCTTCAAATAAATTTGAGACTCCAAGTACTCCACAGCAAATGAATAAATGCTTATTTGGTTTCCCTTTTTTTTTTTTTTTTTGCCAGAACAATGTAAAGCATTTATTACAGCTTTCACAAAAATGTAGTTTGCATCTTTCCCACCTGAATCCCCAACTCCCCAAACCTGCTTCTCTTCGAGAAGGTTTAAGGTCAATACAATTAACGAAATAGATTGTCTTTACATTCACCTTCATAAACAGTTAACTGTTCTGAGTATGTGACTTTATTTCCAGGGCTGGCTTTCACTAAACTTTGTAAGCACTCAATAAGTCCACTTTCAAAGGGATGGCTGAAAGTCTACGCTAAGAATGCATCACCGGCAGCAAATAAGACCTATTTATAAACAACTACAAATGGAGTATAAAAGCTAGGACGTATTAGTACCCTGCATGTGCCTGGGACTCGAGTGCTTTCCTCATTTGATCACTGCCACCAGGCTGTGAAGAAGGCACGGCTAATCCCCATTTTTCAGAGACACTAAGTTCCCCGACGGTGTCACCGCGCTCAGTGGCAGCGGAGGATATGAGACCAGCCAGCTCTGACTCCAGCGCCAGTGGTCTCAGCCCCTAGAGGGCGCTCCTTCTCACTGGGGGCTACCGCTTCCCGGTCCAGCTACAGGGCTTCTAAATGAAAATGGCCAATGAGTTCTGTGAAATATTTTAAGACTTTTAGATTTTGAAAAACAGAGTGCTATATTAAATTAACGATGATCTCTCGTCAGAGATGCCTTGTTTAAAGAACATTTGCTTTGCTCAATTCTAGAACATTCTCACTTCAACAGCCTTTAACTTCATCTCAAGATTCATGAATAAAGTCAGCAAATAAATATTTTTGTCATGATAATTCATCAAAACTCAAAACATTTTTTTTTTCTTGAAAAAGACCGTTGATGTTTGCATTTCCATTTGCTTCCGTAACAGACCTGGGACTGTATGTAGCCATCACTGAGCATCTACATCAAGCCAGCACCCGGGGAGCTTAACGGAGTCACTGTGGTTCAACGAGACCAGATTTTCTCCAGGTGAAACATTTCACATTTATTTCAATATTTAAAGGTGACAAATAATAAAAAGCTGGAGAAAAAGAAATTTTATCTACAAGCATGCAGAGAGATTTCTAGATGAAGTCGATTGCTTTCTATATGGCCTTGAACCAACATGAACACTTCTTAATGCTCTATAAATAAATAAATTACAACTTCCTGGGTAATACAGAACTTCTTTCTTCCTGTGTTGGTTATATATTATACCTATAAACACTACATGCATACGGTAATGGATGGTCAAATTGCCCTTGCCTGTTTGCCCCTGGACAGCTATAACTGAGTGAAAATCACCAGCACTTCTCTTATGATTTGTTGAAACAATGAATAATTCACTTTTAAACTTAGACTACAAACTGGCGCCCCAAGTTATTAAAATACATTCAAGCACATGAATGACAGGGACCTCTGAACATATATGAAATAAAATTTTATATCCAGATCCAGGTTCATGCATAACACATTTCAGGAGGTACAAACAAAAGATATCTGTTGTGCAGGCGTTTGTGTGTTCCTTCTTTCCTTTGCTCATTCATTCGTACAATGATTTAATCAATGTCTCTTTATAAAGTTCCCGGTTCTTAGAAAATAGTTTGCTGAGTGAATTATTCAAAAGGCACATATCTATCCAGCAGGCCCCTCTCTCCATCTCTGGTACACGTTTCTCTTTTCTCTTTCTCTCTTTCTCAACAGGGGGAGGCGATAGAATACAATGAATTATGTGGTGCTCCAGCTAGCAGAACAGTGTGGGGAGAAAAAGGGTGAAAGCAGATTATTACCAGCTACTGAATAAAGGATGTAACTCAGAGAAAATGTGTCAAAACTCCTGGATCACTCCCCTTCAACCAGAATTTGCAGAAAAGCTACTGACAGAAATGCTTTTTTACAAAAGTTCTCATCGTGGACAAAAAAAAAAAAAATCTCACAGTGAAAAGCAAGATCATCATCTGGTACTGTTTCTGAGTCAGATTATCAATACATTGTACCCCTAAGGACAAGGGCTCCAATTGCGTGGGCAGCTTCCACCTCTCAGAAACCTCTCTGTGCAACTCCACCAGGAGCCACACAGGTCACAGCTGTGGTGGCAGTGCAGCAGGAACACCTACCCTTGCAGGGGCCAGGGGTCTACACACACATGACCTCCCTCCCAGTGGGATTGTTCCAGTTTTAGAAAAGGTCTGCACCACTGGTCTCTCTCTCTTTCTGGTCTCCTGTTTCCATAATTCTCCTGCCCATTTCTTCTTTGGTCATCTCCTTCTTAAATTTTAGTGGCTTATTTACTATTGAGATGTGGCTGCCTCTCCCCACCAACCCAGTGTGTGTAGACGGACTGTCCCCACCAGGTGTGTAGACAGACTACCCCTCCCCTGTGTGTGTTGATGAACTGCGCCCCCCAGTGTGTGTAAGTGGCCTACTTCCCCCTTTCCCCACCATGTGTGTAGATAGACTACCCCTTCCCCCCCGCCCCATTTGTGTAGATGGACGACTCCCTCCCTCCACCGCATATGTAGATTACCCCCTCACCGTGTGTACATGGACTGCCCCTCTCCCATGTGTGTAGAGAAGAGCTAACACCCATAACGGATGTACGCGTTATGACTTCCACATTCCTCCCTCTTGGTGGGGATGAGAGTGGAAGCCCTGCGTGGATGGTTCAGGGCTTTCCAAGAAGCGGAATGGACTTTCCCCCCAAGGCTGGACCCTCCTGCACTGGTTTCACTGGACTGAAATGCAGTGTTCAGGGTTCTTTCGTGGAGTTCATTTTGAGCAGGGCGGGGCATCGGTGTCCTTCCCTGAGACTCAAGGCTTCTCTCAGGATTAGCGACAGAGAGAGAGAATAAGGACAGCGAGGCACAGGGTCCGGGAAGCAAGAAGTCACCCTGAAAAGGATGGGCCCCCGAAGGAGCCAGGGTTTTCTATATCATACACTGTGCGCCTTTACCAACCAAGTCCACGTGGAAAAGATAATCCAAGGCTGCGGAGTCCCTGATGTTGTTACTGGCCTTGGGGGACCAGCTAATTTTCTACTCATTCCTATATCAAGTAAGATGTTTCCTGAGCATCCAGAATCAATCCACACCAGCAGAAATACATGAACAATTTGGGGCGATCTCTCACGATTTTTTCAAGGAGATATTTAAGCCTATTTCTCTCCATCCTGTTCCTACCTGTCGCAATAAAATTGCATTCAATTATAGAATACTGTTTCTTCAAAGTTAAAAAATATCCCGTTGTCAGGCCACATGTGTAAATATTCTATGAGTTATTCAACATAGAGCAAAGGATGACCATTCACCATACCACAGCAAACATCTATTACAGCACCTGAATGCCCCACTAAGATGTGTTGCAAAAGATCATAATACTAATGAAATAGCAGATTTAGTTTAATAGTTGTACATCAATTTTTTTGTTTTAGAATAGGCTTCACCATTGGCTGCACTGACGTACAATCATGACCAGTGACTGTAATTTAATGCATGATATTGACAAGAGGCAGTGGCATTTTGCCCACCCTGCAATTTTATATCATTTCAGACTACTGTGGGAAATTGTCATTTGGCCCTGAGAAAGGTCGATGCCTGAGTTTACAGGACTGCTTTTGGGGATTCTTTTAGAAGTAGGGTTGGATAACTATTTCGGACTAAAAGCTCCATAATCACTCATACTTTTGTATCCATTCCTTTCATGATTTTAATCAATAAGTGATTCAATCTTGAGAAAAACCGAGGGCCTTTTACTTTAAAAGCAGGTGTCATTTTTAACCACAAGGGGACAGTATAATTCTATTCTCAGCCCTAATCAGCAGGCTCCTCCAGGACAGACCTCAGTTATTCTTGCTGTTGGTGCCTCTGCTGAGCCTTTTAACTGTCTTCATTAGCCTGGACTACCGCCACCCCAATCAATTCCAACAAAAAAGAAAGCAAAAACCGGATGAAATGAATGAAAGTTGCAGGCCAACTACTAGCTATTTATTTCTTTAGCCAAACACATTTAACAGGTAGGTGCTCTGATCGCTGCAAATTCTGTATAATTTGGTAGAGCTGGGATGGCCGGCGAGATTAGCTATAGAAGCAGACACTTAGTTCCTCTGAAGCCAGCTGAGGTCAGTAATGATGGTCATTACCATTTTACAGCTGTCCTAGTTGACTCATAATTAAGCATGCTGGAAACCACCTCCACATGACTTCTCACCAATGGCTGAAATAAGGAGGTCAAGGACCCATCGCCATGGGAACACCTCCTTCCCGGATCATCACCAGGTGTGGGAACCATGCGGTAAAATGACACTTTACGAGCAACAGATTAACCAAACACCTAAATTCTCTGCTGGGCTTCTGTCCTGTGAAGCACGTGGGCAGATGCACAGGCTATGGAAGCATGAACCTCTCCACTGAAGTCTCCGGTCTCCTGAAAGAGTTTTAAGCTCAAGTATTCAAATTCGGGTCAATTTCTCTTCCGACCAAAGGGGCTCTGCTATAGGTAAGCTTTGTACACTGAACTCTATGTGAGAGTCAAGCGGGTCTGCTGTAAACACGGAGCCATGTCTGTCCACCAGGGCCCTGCTAAGGCCCAAGGGTCTCTGCCATACCAGTTGTTACAAAGATATCCCTGTTTCTCTCTTTC